CTAGTTTATCTGCTTTTCTACAATCCAGCCTCCATACTAGTTATCAATTATTTCAGTAAAAAATAAAAATTATTTCAGCCCTGACCATTGCTACTTGTCAGGGCAAGTAGAAGGGGTCTCCAGTGTCTTTAGGATAAGTTCAAAATAAATGGTCTAACCCACAAGACTTAAAAAACTCTGCCCTTACATCTCCAGCCTTTCGTTCTACCACACATCCTTTGCTTGGCATACCACCCACCAACCTTAGGTGCTCCCAAATGGGCCATTTAAAAAAAAAAATACCCCAGGCCTTTGTATATGCTGTTCTGCCAGGAGTTGCCTCCCAGCCCCATCTCCCTAACTCCCTACTTTTCCTTCCAGATACTTACCAAATGTCCCTTTTCCTTGGCAACATTTCCTACTGAATTCGTCTTCTCTTATTCAGGGGCTTCTTTAGGGTCCCCCTCTATATTCCTGTATATCTTTGCATATCCTCTAAAATGACATTTACCACTCATAAAGCGTAAACTATATTATTTGCATATTCTCTAAAATGACATTTACCACTCATTCCCCCACGCCCCATCTATCTCCTCTACTAAGCCTCTTGAGAGTAGGGCCATGTACTTCATCCTTAGAGCTCCTATGACCTGCAGTGGGTTTATAAGGTTAAAGAAGTTATTACTGCAAACATGGATATATTTGTTGGGTAATTATTTCCCTAATACTGGCTCATTTCCAGAGCTTGAGTGTCTATCCACGATCAGGTACATAGCCTATGGTTTTTCATTTTGGGGGTTTTTTGGGGTTTTTGCCATTTTTTGAGACAGGGTCTTGCTCTTTCACCCAGGCTGGAGTGCAGTGGCGCGATCATGGCTCACTGCAGCCTGAAACCCCTAGGCTCAAGTAATTCTCCCGCCTCAGTCTCCCGAGTAGCTGGGATTACAGGCATGAGCCACCACATCTGACTAATTTCATTTTTGTAGAAACAGGGTCTTGCTATGTTGCCCAGGCTGCTGTCAAACTCCTGGGCTCAAGCAATCCTCCTGCCTCAGCCACCCAAAGTGGTGGGATTACGGACATGAGCCACCATGCTCAGCCTGGCCTATGGTTATTAATAGGTTGGAAAAAGTCTCTAGAGAAGAGATAGTATGTAATGGAGGGGATTAGGTGGTCCCAGGCAGTTACTTCTAGGTAAATTGTTAGAACAAGTCCAACATCCTATGCGTCTTCCTTCTTTCTTTGTTGCCTTCCCTCTCAATCTGTACCACATCAGAGAAATTACAAGTGGCAGCTCCAAAGGTTTCTTCAGTTGACACTGTCTCCCTATGTAGTCCACCTGTGCCCTCTGGTGGCCACAATATGCTACCACATTCCACTTTAAAGATAAGTCTGGCTTCAGGTAGCATGAACAGCAGTTTAATAGGTCTACAACCTTGGAATTAAATTATCTGAGTCTATTGTGGTTTTGTATTATGATTTACTAAAAATATTAAATAATAAGTAAATAGTGCTTGAAATATAATAGACAATAAATCTTAGCTTACTTGCTTTTGAATCAGGCCCTTATGAGTAATGGCACAGAAAACTTGAATTATCATCTATTGATTAGGCTGGTGGTTCTCAAACACTGAACCCCAAGACCTATTAGTGGAAGAAAGGGCTGATAAAGCAGGTCCCTGATTCTAGATGGTACTCATTTCGTTCCAAATAGGGATAGAATGACAATAGAGTGCATTTATAGAATACTTAGTCTGTAGCAGGTACACCTTTTTATCCTCATGCAACACAATTGAGGTACGTGCCTAGGCCTAGTATGCTGGCCTGCAGAGAGGATTAGTCAACTGGAGCAGAAGTGGGGTTGCCACTCAAGTGACGTTGGAGTGACCAAAGAGGTACAGAGAAGCCATAGAAAGCCTGACGAGGGGTAATACCAACCTCTTTTAGCTTAATAAAATACCAAAAAACTCTGATGTCCAATAGAATCAAAGTTTTAGCCCTTGTAAACTGGACTGCAAAAATTTTCTTTTTTGGATGATTTCCATCTTCCAGGATCTAAATCATGACATATTAAGTAAATCAAGAATGTTAAATTTGTTTTTATTATTAGTAGTAGTATTTTAGATGGAGTTTCACTCTGTCACCCAGGCTGGAGTGCAGTGGCAACCTCTGGATTCAAGTGATTCTCCTGCCTCACTCTACCAAGTAGCTGATATTACAGGCACCCACCACCATGCCCAGCTAATTTTTGTATTTTTAGAAGAGACAAGGTTTCACCATGTTGGCCGGGCTAGTCTCAAACTCCTGACCTCAGGTGATTCGCCCCCCTCGACTTCCCAAAGTGCTGGGATGTGTGAGCCACCACGCCTGACCAGGGATGTTAAATTTGTTTTTTAAAAAAAGCAAGTTTAAGCACATATTTACTGAACATCTACTGTATGCAAAGGACTTAGACAAGCCCTTTCATACTAAAGTCCTGTGTGTATAAATGGAAGCCAAAAGAAACCCTGGAATGACTTTCTGGTGGAGGGACATGGGTTCAACTATAAATGGTATATATTCTGTATACTTATCAATTATATTCTATATAATTCATTATCAAAGAACAGATTATAGCCTGGATTGGAATTATATTTGAGGCAACTATTTCCATGGAAAAATTTTGCAAGCCCTTTTAAATGGAGTAAAACCCTACCTTATCTCCAAGCCATTTCTAGTAGAATCAACACTTAATATAGCTTTAAAAATAAGATAGCTTCAACACATTATATGTGTCTATCAATTTATACACAAATGTTTATTGAAGTGCCTATGATGTGTCCAGCACAGTCCTAGGCACCATTAAGATTATAAAGGTTGACTGACCCCTGCTGTCATGGACCTTACAGTCTAAAGAGCCAGAGAACATCTAGAAAACATCTAAGTGTTTGAGTGGTAAAGACAAGAAGTTCAGAGATGAGGGGAAAACAGGTGGAGTAGTTGCTGGAGTCTCCAAGAAAGCCTGGAAGAAAGAGGATTCCAGTTAGTTCTTGAATGTGTAAGGCCTAGCTTAGTAGAGAACAGGGTGAGTCATTTGGGCAAGGCACACAGGCAGAAGTCAGTACACAGTGAGAGAAAACAGTGACCTCTTCAGGGAGCATTAATGTACACGGAATTGTATCAAGCTAACAAGTTGGAAATGCAGGTTGTAGTCAACTATAGAGGATACTAAATCTCAGCTAAATAGTTTTTTTGTAGGCATTTGAAAGCCACTACAGACACTTGGGCAGGGGAAATGGTGTGGTGCCAATAGATCAAACAATATGTGCAGAATGCACTGCGGGAGAACGGTGAGGGAAGGAATTAGATACCATGGCAGTAATCCTGACACCAGAGGATGATAACAACAATTAAGGAGCTGACAAAGAAATATAACCACAGGGCTTAGCCAGAAGAGTTTTCCTCTCTCACATGTTAAGAATTTAAAATATGTACAGTACTTTTAATTCAAATGATCGTATTAGTCTGTTAAAAGAAAAATATCCAAAATGAGCGGTAAAAGAATCTATTTAAACATCTGCCGTTCTTCAGTGATTGTTGTTTTGTTAATGTGGAAGCAATATTTTCTATGATTTATCTGCTGTATCTGTTTTGACTAAGCTATTATAGAAAGAAAAATCACTGAATTGCTATGGGTTTCTGAAATATCCAGAAAAATTAACCTGAAGCAGGGGGGAAAAATGACACCACACCATTAGCAGGTATTGTGTGAAACTTCTGAAAATGCAACTGACATTTATCTTATTAGGAATAAATACACTGTCTAATGAACTCTCTAATGAACCTTCCTCTCACCCTTTCTGGAAAGTGAGAGTCATGCTGGGCTGTACGTTCTCCCCCATGATTCTGATTAACGGGATGCTCTACTATTATAACCTCCCTCCCTGGTTGTATCCATGTCTTATTAAATTTTTTTTTTAGAGATGAGGTCTCGCTGTGTTGGCCAAACTGGTCTCAAACTCCTTGCCTCAAGTGATCCTCCCAAAGTGCTGGGATTACAGGCATGAGCCACCATGCCAAGCCTATGTCTTAAATGCACTGTATTTCCTTGTACTCCAGCTCCCTATTTGTGAAATGCCTATTAAAATATTTTCTAAGGCCAGTGTGGCAGTATGCATCAGTAGTCCCATCTATTTGGGAGGATGGCTTGAGGCCAGGAGTTAGAGACATGTGTTATAATCATGCCTGTGAATAGCCACGGCATTCCTGCCTGGGATGCAATATAACAAGACCCCATCTTTAAAAACAAAGTCTTATAGTGCTTCCGGCAAATCAACGGAAAGGAGAAAGAGCTCTAGAGTAAGAACAGTTGTTTCTTTTTTTAACAATTAGTGGCGGGGGAGTATTGAGATGGCCAGCTAAAGACAGAAGTTCTAGAACTCAGCTAGACCAGTATATTGCTTTATTTAAATTGGCTCAATATCCTATCTAAAGCTAGACTAGTGGTTTTCAAAGCATGGAGCCTGGACTGCATCAGCTGAGAATGTTAGAAATGCACATTTCTGGGTCCCACCTGAGGTCTACTGTATCAAACTCTGGGGGTGGGCCTAGCAGCCTTGGGTTTTAACAAGCCTTCCAAGTGATTCTGATGTGAGCTAGATTTGGAAGCCCCTGAGATAGACTTACTGGAAAGAAGCTGGACCCAGGCCCATAGTGTACTTGATGTTCCTGTGGTTGGTTCAGTTTCCAAACTTGTCTGCACATTGGAATCACCTGGAGAGCTTCAAAACTTCCAATGCCTGTGACCCATCACCAAAGATTGTGATTGAATAGGCCTGGGATATGGCCTGAGCTTTGGAATTTTTAAAGGATTCTCAAGTGATCCTAATGTGCAGACAAGTTTGGAAACCCTTGGATAAATCAAAATACATCTTGAATCAAGGACCAGAGATAGCCAAAAAGAAAAGACAAGACAAGACAACACACGTATTAGTTAAATTCCATTCAAGGAAGTTTCCTGGCTATTTCAGAGTACTGGAATATTGTCATAATAATATTGCTTTACTTAAATTGGCTCAACAGCCTATCTGAAGAAATCTTTATTCTTGTAAACTACATTTTCTGAAATAAATTCCTGCATTACTTTGTTTGGAGGAAATCTGTAATTTTGGAATCAACAAGGGTTTGTGTCACTCTTTTCATTAAATATTCATCTATGCCATTTAATTGTCCAAAAATGGCATCAGGAACGTCTACACAAGTGGAAAGGAACTGTCTAAGTTTCTGTACACTTGATATGGCTTCTGTGACGGTGACTTTTGGTTGCTCTGGTAAAGATACCTCCCCTTCATCTTCACTTCCTGCTTCACTGGTATTTTCGCCAGCCACCATGCCCTGGATGGTGTCTGTGTCCTGAGAGATAATGAGATCATCATCTGCAGTAACAAAGTCCTGGAAATTTACTTCATTTGGGACACAGGTGGCAATAGCCACTGTGTGCCACAACTTTTCAATGGCAGTGTCTGGTTCACTGGCTGCTGATTCTATGTCACATTCTGCAAATTCCATAGGGATGATGCCTGCCTTCTGCCAACATTTGACCACTGTGGATGGCTTGACTGACCACCATGCTGCAGCAATCATGTCGATGGCCTGCTTGATGTCCACCTTTTCTTGATCCTCCCTGCTGCTCAGCTTGAGGAGGATCTGTTTGAGAAGGTGGCTCCGGTATAGTACTTTCATGGTGTGAATTATGCCAAGATTCAGTGGCTGCAGGACAGCAGTACAGTTGGAGGGCAGATACCCAACCTGAATCCTTTCCAAGCGTGGAAGCATGTTATGAGCAGAGCAGTTGTCGATCAGCAAGAGGATCCGGCGTTCCGCCCTCTTCATCCTGGCATCCACTTGCATCAGCCACTCATTAAACAGATCCCTTGTCATCCAAGCCCACTGGTTGGCTCGGTAATCACAAGGGAGGGAATGGATGTTCTTGAGGCAGCGTGGGCTGGCTGACCTACCAACGATCAATGGTCTCATTTTTTCAGTCCCTGAGGCATTGCAACAAAAGAGTGCTGTCAACCGCTGCTTTGCTTTCTTGCCCCCTCTACAATGGTCTCCTTTAGCAGCAAGTGTATGCTGGGGAAGCAACTGGAAAAACACTCCTGTCTCATCAGCATTAAAGATATCATCTGGGCTGTAGTCAGCAATCAGTTTTATAATTTCCCCTGCATGCCACTCGTTAACCTTATCTATTCCTAGACCATTCATTAATCTGTCAGTATCTTCTCTACAGACTGCTTTCAAAGCAATTCCGTGGCGATCTCTAAATCTGTTCAGCCAGCCCACACTTGCTTGAAAATTGTCATAGCCAAGCATGTTGGCCAAGTTTAGTGCTTTTTTCCGAATGACAGAACCAGTCACAAGAATGTTTTTGGCATGGATTTCTTGAAACCAAGCAAAAACAGCCTTATCAATGTCATCATAAAGAGCGCTCCTCATCCTTTTCCGCTGGGGTCCCACGGATGCCTCCCGTACCTTTTTTTCAAATTTGGTGCGATCCTTTAAGAATGTAGATAAAGTAGAGGGAGTGATACCAAATTCTTTTGCCACGTCACCTTTCCTCTTGCCTGAGTCTACAGCTTCCACAACTTTCATTTTCTCTTCCAGAGAGAACTGCCGACGCTTCTTGTTCCCCTTGTTTGCCATTTCCAGGGAGTGAGGGCTGGCCACGACTAACAGGGCTGTCTGGTTCCTCCTCGCAGCTTGCTTTGCCACAAGTGTGGCAAACTGAGAAGACAAAATGGAGTACCTATCAGGAAACAAAGATAATGGATTTCCCCTAAAAGATGGTTCAGGTTTTCACAAATCGTATTAGGAAACGACAATTTATGGTCAAAGTAAAGAGAAGATAGGATTCACGCTACTGACTTTTTGTAGAGGCTACTTATAAAGACTCACAGAATGTTTGAAACAGAAGGGATCTTATTATATAGTTTACTTAAACTTTCTGAAGCCCTTAAAAATGGGAATAACAATGTTTGCTCTGCCTACCATGAGAACAGATTGAAATAGGCAGGGAAAGAACTTTGCATATAGCACTGTGCTGTATACATTCCGAGTTATTATCCAGTTTCTTTGATGGACGCAGAAACTGGGGCCCTGGGAAGGGGCCTACCCAGGTTCATGCAGCTTAGATTTCTTAACTCAGATTACTATTTCTGCCAGGCCATGGTCCTGCTTGAAATTCCACCAAAATGAGATCTTCAAAGCTCTACCACCATCTTGCCTGGAAAGATTTTTACTGTGGGAAGATGTTTCTGGTAGCCATACATTCATTTTATATTCATAGGTGCCAAGCTTTAAGGGTACAGTAATGAACAAAAGAGTCAAGGTCTCTGTTCTTATGAAATATAAAATGTGGTGGGAAAGATAAATAAGTAAACAAGATAATTACAGAGGGTGATATGTGCTATAAAGGAAATAAAGACTATGACAAGGAATAAAAGAGGAAGATCTACTTACTATACAAAGGGTGGTCAGGGGTGTCCTCACTAAGATGGCACTGAAGCTGAGATCTTCAAGAATATAGGGAAACGGCTGTCCAGCAAAAGACATAGCATCAGCAAAACCTCAAAAGCAAAAATAGGCCGGGCGCGGTGGCTCATGACTGTAATCCCAGCACTTTGGGAGGCCGAGGTGGGCGGATCACTTGAGGTCAGGAGTTTGAGACCAGCTGGCCAACATGGCAAAACCCCAACTCTACTAAAAATACAAAAATTAGCCTGGCGTGGTGGTGGGTGCCTGTAATCCCAGCTACTAGGGAGGCTGAGGCAGGAGAATCACTTGAACCCAGGAGGTGGAGATTGCAGTGAGCTGAGATCGTGCCATTGCACTCCAGCCTGGGCAACAAGAGCAAGACTCCGTTTCAAAAAAAAAAAAAAAAACAAAAAACCAAAAATAGCTTGAGGTATTCAGGGAACTGAAAGATTTGCATGAATCCAAGTATATGACAAAGGTGGGTGGCCAAGTATATGACAAAGATGCCATGGTAGGCTGGGTGCGGTAGCTCACACCTGTAATCCCAGCACTTTGGGAGGCTGAGGTGGGTAGATCATGAGGTCAGGAGATCGAAACCATCCTAGCCAACATGATGAAACCCTGTCTCTACTAAAACTACAAAAATTAGCTGGGTGTGGTGGTGCGTGCCTGTAATCCCAGCTACTCGGGAGTTAGAGGCACGAGAATTGCTTGAACCCAGGAGGCGGAGGTTGCAGTGGGCCAAGATCGCACCGCTGCACTCCAGCCTGGCAAGAGCGAGCCTCCATCTCAGACAAACAAAAAAAGATGTCATGGTAAAGAGTTGGTATTTTGAGTGCAACAGAGATCCGCTGACGTTTTCAGGCATTTTAAAAGGATCACTTTGGCTGTTTTGTGGAAAATGGATCAAAGAGGCAAAGAGACCAATTAAGTGACAGATTATGGCAGAAGTGATGGGCAGGTTATAGTACTTCTCTGGGCCTGTTTTCTTTTTTTCCTTTTTTAAATATATTTTTGAAAAGTCCCATGGTTGCAAACCACAAGACCAGATGATGCCTAAGGTCCTTCCAGATGTAAGTCTTGGACCCTAGATAGGTACTCCAAACTCAAATGCCTTTAGGGGCCAGGATGGTGGTGTAAGTGAGTGAAACAGGGATTGAAGTATTTGGAGAATGTTGTGGTGTATCCTGTCTAGAAGTATTCAGAATTTAAAACTAACAGTCCCCCTGCCCCAGGCTGGTCCAACAAAACATGATCCAGCAGTAGCAATTTTGGGTAATTGCCTTCGTAGGCATTTTATCATGAGAATCCTCAAAGGACAAGAGAAACTGCTGTGACTTTACGCTATGATTGTCCCTTCTCAAGGGTAGATTTTTACTATCACCTCCATACATTATCCATCCATTCGTGACATGTACTATGTATTAAGCAGTATGCTTGATGCCAGCCATACAGAGATGAATGGAGCATAGTGCCCACCTTTGAGGAGCCTACCAGGGAAGACAAACACTAGAGCATGTGAAAACTATAGCAGAGGTTACAGAGTACTACTGGAACATAAAAGTGCAGATAATCAACTGGAGTGGGGCATGGATGGCAGTGCACTTCAAAGAGGGAACAATATGGTGGGCCTTAAAGAATAAACAAATAGGAACTCACGAGATGAAAGGAAATATTTAATATGAAAGGCGATGAAATGCTATAGAAAATAGAATGTCCTTGTCAGGAACAAAGAAGTCCTCGGAGAAGAAAGCAAGGACCAAATCACAGGAAGTCCTAGTTAGGATTCTAGCTTGCATTTGGGGCATTAAGAGACTTTTGACGGTTTTTTGGTTTTGTTTTTTTGGAATGACATGATCAGATTTACAATTCAGTCTTTTGGTTGCAGGGTAGGGAACCTAATGGGTAAAGTTGATTTTCCTAAGAGATGGCCCTAAATCTGAATATAAAAGCAGGCTAGCCCGGTAGGCCATATATAGTTTGGATGTTAATTTGAATGCAATAGGAAGCTACTGAAGGATTTTAAGAGAGGAGAGATAGCTGCCATGTAAAGAATAGAAGGGTATTAGAGAAAAAAGCAGGAGTCCACACTAGATAATGGTGGCTTGGATAAGAGTAGTAATAGCGAGATGGTGAGTAGTAGTCAGTTTGGGGCTATGTTTTTGCAAGCCCTGTCATGGACCGGATGTGAGGTGAAGGAGGAATCAAGGATAACGCCCAGGTTTCTGGTTTGAGCACTGAGCAATCCAGCGGATGATGGTGCCATTTACTGAGGTGGGAGGATCTACTGCGTAAACGTAATTTGTTAAGCACTTTACATGGTTAATATTGCTTACCTGTGGCAGGGCTGGGATTCAAACCCAGGGAGGCTCACAACAAAGCTAGCACTCCAAACACTACAGAGTGCTATATAGCTGGTTCTGGGAACTACTAATATTGAGAGGAGACATAGAAAGAGAATAAAGCGAGAACCAAATCAAAGTCTTGGTCAAGCTAAGTCGTCTGAATTTTATTTTAAGTGAATAAGACACTGGAGGGTTTTAAGCAGGGAGTGACTTGCTCAGACAGGGCAAAATGATCAATCTGACTGCTTCGTGGAGAACAGACTGTAGAAGGGATGTGGGGAGAACTACATCAGTCCAGGCAGGAGATGATGGTGGCTAGAAGGTTGGTGACGGCGGTAGATGGACAGAAGTAGACAGATTGGAAACACATTTGCAATACAGTGAGAGTTGTGCGGGCACTCGTACAAATGTGGATAACCTGTGACACTGGAGAGAAAGGATTGGATTGTCAATCCAATCCAATCCCTATTTGACTTACGAAGGCTCTCCACACGGTCACTGAGCTCAGCATAAGTCACTCCAGGAACTCACTACCACCACTATTCGTGGGCCAGTGGGAGAGACGGATTGAGGGCAGATCACTGGAGTGATGAAGGCGCTACTTGATGCGGCACTACGTATGAACCCGATCTTGAATGAGAGGGAAAGACGGGGCAGGCAGAAGTCAGGCCTTGAACGTCGTGCGGAGGAGAGGGTGGTATTGTAGGCTTCCCAGCGCCCGACGTGGCTCTGAGAGGTGAGGCGGGGTCTAGATCCCTCACGCTCAGCACAGCCCCGCCCCTGTTACCTGAACGCCCCCAGCAGTGCTCAGGGGCTGAGCGGCCGGGGTGCCCCACCGCCGGCAACCACAGCTTCCTCCTCTGCCCGGGACCTCTGGCCGGAAGCAGTCCTTTCACCTTAATAGACCCCCCTCCAAGCCTTTGAGTATTTCGTATGGGTCCGCCCCCAAGCTACGGCTGGGCTGTTGCGCTTGCGCGAGGGGTCGCACGCAGTCACGCGCCGCCGACCGCTTCCGGTGCGCCGCGAGGGCAGCCGGGACGGGTCTCCCTGGCGATCCGTGGTGTGCTGCTGCTCAGCGGCCAAACCGGTCCCTCGGTGACGACTGTGTACCTGCTGTCTTCCTCGAGCTCCCCGGGGCTTGACCCCCGGGGCCCTCGGCAGGCATCGGTGAGGAGCCTGCGGAGCGAACCTGTGCTCCTACACTTGCCCTTCACGACTCCATATCGCGACTCCGAGGAGGGGAAGCGAGGGGGGCTGTCGCGACTCCGCGCCGTGTGTCGCCGGGCGGGGCCGCGGGGCCGGGGCTCCTCCAGCCCCCGGGATGCGCGCGCGAGCCCTCGCCTCCACTTCCTTGTTGCTGCTGTCACGACTGGAGCCGCCTCTCGCCGACAGCGGGGAGCGCGAGTGCGCCAGCCAGGGACCTCGTCGAGCCCCCGAGCCGAGCGCCTCCGGGAATGTGAGCGGCGCGGCTTGCACGCTCCTCCGGGTAAGTCCCGCCTTCGAGGGTCGCGCCGAGCCGCTGGGCGACCTCGAGTTGGCTGCTGCGGCTCTCTGAGCCTCGACTGACTCTTCCACAAAGTAGGGCCACTGAACCTTAGTGTCCTCCTTCCGCAATCCGTATGGGACATTCGGATGTCCCAGACGTCTTAGCTTGACCAATACTTTGTCTCGTTTGGCTCTTGCTTCATTCATGACCCAAAATGAGGGAAAGAAGCTAGCCCAGAGTCAAACTGTGGCCCATGGCTGAGCCCTCAAAGGCCATCTCGTGAGATTCCAAGGAGGATGTGATGGGACAGAGAAAGTGTCTCGCATATTTCAAGTATTGACCTTAACTGTATTTTACAGATGAAATAACGGAGACTTAGGGTAAGTAGACTGCTTAAGGTCATAGGGCCGCGTGCTGGTGCGACTGTGTAGCCTGCACTAGAACCCGGATTTTCTGTCCTCCAGAGCCTTTCGTTTTTAACCTTTGTATTGTCCTGCCTTTTTTTGCATTGCTATACTGCGGCCTCCAGTCTGATAACAAACTTGGACCCAGGCTTAGAAGAGGGTAGTAAAACAAAACCCTAGGGTGTTCTCTTCCTGCCCTCAGCCCAAGGTGGTTGTAATGACTGTTTCCTAACCCGTTTTGCTCAGAGTGCTTAGTACCCTATATGCCATTCATTACAGATGCTCTCCTGCAGTTACTGCCCTGCTCCACAAGGGTTTCAACCGCCCAGAAGTCAGTTAAGGGCAAAAAAGAGCAGTCCCCACGTAGCCTTGATTTGAACTCCTGCTTCCCTTATCATTTACTGGCCTATTGTTTACCCAGCCAAGTTGTAGACTGTGTTCTCTTCCTGGGTTGCACTATGGCAGTTAGAATGTAGGTTTTTTTTTTTTGTTTTTCTTTGTTAGTTTAGTTTTTGTTTTTAATGGGAAGAGGAATCGTTTAGAGATGACAGAGAACTAGGAAGAACCTTAAGAAAAATGTGTGCTTAACCTGGGGTATATCCTTAAAACTATAGGTGAAATACAGTGTGTCTGCATTTTCTAGGATAGTTTTTGTTTGTTTGTTTGTTTGTTTGTTTGTTTTGCTTTTGCAACATTGTGAAAAGAATTCTTGCCTCCAAAAGATTAGGAGCCACTAGGTTCATCCTCTTCTCACAGTAGAAACAGTTGAAATTTAGGTTGTGGAATAGACTTCTCTGGGATCATAAGGTTAGCGTTTAGGTCTCTTGACTCCACATGCAGTGCTCATTACGCCTTATTTGTGGAGTGAGGTCTAATTGAGAGGTGAATGGGCTTTGTACTGCATGTATCAGTCCCATATTTACCACCACAGCTGCCTCTTCACATAATTCTAAATTTCCTCCTGACAGATTTTCAGGGGCAACTATGTTATTTCCCTCTTGCAAAATTCAAGTGGTTTCTGTGAGCCTTTCTCGCTCCAAGGATTGAGACTTGTGGTAAAACTCCAATTTAGAACTTGGCTACAAAAAAAGCTAACTCTTCTTGAAGTAGTTATTAAGTTTTTTTATGCCTCTTTTCCTAGACATAAAAGCTGTTAGTAGATTCTCTGTTTGTTAGCCCAGCACCAGAGAGCTGATATTGGTTGGTGAGATGACTGTGCTGTCTCTAGCTCCTAGCCTATGTTGCTATTTAAATTAATTACAATTGGCCAGGTGTGATGGTGTCTCATGCCTGTAATCCCAGCACTTTGGGAGGCCAAGGCAGGAGGATTGCTTGAGCCTAGGAGTTTGAGAGCAGCTTGGATAATATAGTGAGATCTCATCTCTACAAACATTTGAAAATTTGCCAGACGTGGTGGTGCACATGTGTAGTCCCAGCTACTTGGGAGGCCAAGGTGGGAAGATTTCTTGAGCCTGGGAGGTGGAGGCTGCAGTGAGACAAGATCGCATCACTGCACTCCAGCCCAGGGGACAGAGTGAGACCCTGTCTTAAAAATAAATACATTTAAAATTAAAACTAATTCAATTCTTCAGTAACACTAGCCATGTTTCTTTTTTTTTTCTTTTGAGATGGAGTCTTGCTCTGTCGCCCAGGCTAGAGTCCAGTGGCACAATCTCGGCTCACTGCAAGCTCCGCCTTCCAATTCACACCATTCTCCTGCCTCAGCCTTCAGAGTAGCTGGGACTACAGGCGCTCACCAGCACGCCCGGCTAATTTTTTGCATTTTTAGTAGAGACGGGGTTTCACCATGTTAGCCAGGATGGTCTCGATCTCCTGACCTCGTGATCTGCTTGCCTCGGCCTCCCAAAGTGCTGGAATTACAGGCGTGAGCCACCGCGCTGAGCCCGCACTAGCCATATTTCAAGTCAGCACGCCCGGTTAATTTTTTGCATTTTTAGTAGAGACGGGGTTTCACCGTGTTAGCCAGAATGGTCTCAATCTCCTGACCTCGTAATCTGCTTGCCTCGGCCTCCCAAAGTGCTGGAATTACAGGCGTAAGCCACCGCGCCCAGCCCGCACTGGCCATATTTCAAGTGCTCGATAGCCATATGTGGCTGGTGGCTACTATGTTTGACAGCACAGATGTAGGACATTTCCATCATCAGAGTTTATTGAACAGTGCTGGTTTGGAGAGTTGCCAGTAGAGATGGGTAGCAGTGTAGCATAACGAAAGAAGGCCGAGGGAGTTGGATTTTTTAATTGAAAATCTATCTCTCAAGTCCCTGTTTGGGCTTGGTGGCCTTGGGAAGGTTGTTAAGCATCTCAGACACAGATAATAGTCTTTAACAGAGGCCAGATATGGTGGCTCACGCTTGTAATTACAGCATTTTGGGAGGCTGAGGTAAGAGGATCGCTTGAGCCCAGGAGTTCAAGACCAGCCTGGACAACATAGCGAGAGCTCATCTCTATTATTATTTTTAAAATTATATAAAATTTAAAAAAAAAACTTAATGAACTCTTTCATTTTTTTTTTCCTGCCTGCCAATTACCTGACTTTAGGAATGAACCCAGCTGGGTGCAGTGTAATCCCACTCATGCCTGTAATACCAACAGTTTGAGAGGCCAAGGTGGGCAGATCGCCTGAGTCCAGGATTTTGAGACCAGCCTGGCCAATATGGCAAAACCCCATCTCTCCAAAAAATACAAAAAATTAGCTGGGCGTGGTGACATCACCTATAGTCCCAGCTACTCAGGAGGCTGAGGTGGAAGGATTGCTTGAGCCCAGGAGGTTGAGGCTGTAGTGAGCCCAGAGTGTGCCACTGTACTCCAGCAACAGAATGAGATCCTGTCTCCAAAAAAAAAAGAAAGAAAAAAAAAACCCTTTTTGTTTGTATAGCACTTGACTATTTTCTTTTTTTTTTAATTAAAAAAGATTTTTATTTTTTAAATAGAGATGGGGTCTCACTATATTGACCAGGCTGGCCTCAAAACTCCTGACCTCGAGCAATCCTCCCATCTCAGTCTCCCAAAGTACTGGGATTATAGACGTGAGCCACTGCGCCCAGCCAATTATTTTTAAATAGAGTTGTGTCTGTTGTATCCTTTGAGTCCTATCACTATAAATCTGTGAGAAGGTAGGTGAGACATCTCTTTTTTTATACATGAGAGGGAGAAAGCTGAACAAAAAGCAGCTAAAAGACCTGCCCAAAATTGCACAAGCTGGCAGAGTGTAAAGAAATCTCTTACATACAGACCCTTACTACATGTTTGAGTGAATCAATGAAGGCATTTGCTTAAGTTGATGAAACATAGGAGGAATGGGCCAGAACTTCTGATTTCTGGTCAAGCATTCTTTTCACCTATTTCCGTATAGAATTGTCATAATTTGGGGCTAATAAATCTTTGCGTAAAAGGGGTGGGTGGGTACTGTATCCCGTGAATATAAGTGAAGTCTTTCTAAGTCAGTGGTCACAAATTTGCCCGGTCTAAGGAATTACCTGAGGCATTTGTTAAGCATGTGGATTTCCATACCCTTGGGGATTCTGATTCAGAAGGGCTGAAGTGGAGCTCTGGAATCTGTATGTTAACCAACCAACCCAGGTGCCTCTTAGGATATATTGGGTTTGGGAAATGTCTAAGCCTTAAGGCACTGGCAGAGGTAAGGAGTTATTTGATCAGGAAACTGCTGTCCCTCTTAGGGTAAATTCTGGAAACTTTATTTTGACTTTCCTTTCCTTTAGCCATGGACGCATCATATGATGGTACTGAGGTAACTGTCGTGATGGAGGAAATTGAGGAAGCCTATTGTTACACCTCTCCTGGGCCACCCAAGAAGAAGAAAAAGTATAAAATACATGGAGAGAAGGCCAAGAAACCCAGGTTAGCCAATACAATTTGGTTGCGGCTAGCATTTATAAACAGAAGTTGCTTGGAGAGCTGCATTGAGGAAAACTTTTAAGACTCTTTGAAAAAGAATGTTATTATTGAAGTCCCGGGTCGAGGGATGGGGAGTGGGAAGTGAAGGGATTTCTGCCAGCATTGCTATTACTGACTAGACTTTGCTTTTGTTTTC